GGAGCTTCTCTCCACAGATTCCAAGCGCACCATGTAGCCCATGCCAATGCGAGAGGGTTCATGAAACTCGTAACGGCGTAATGATATACAGTATGCGACATGAATGCGAGATAGAGGCTGTCGAGAATCCTAAACACATGCTCAATGGTATGAAAGTCGATAATTCCACATAACGTACCATAATAGAAGTATCTATGATCATCAGTCACCGGTAAGTTTGAAATCTAGATGACAAGCAATGGGAGGGTGCTTACGGCTCGTTTCATGAGGGGGATTTCACGAGGGCTCCGGTGAAGGTATACGTAAACTTGCACACTTGCGATGCCATATAATCTGTGAGAGTTGCTGTGAGAAATTCTTATCGACTCATAATACCTAGTGACACAAACACGGCTACCAGAATTTCGGCTGCTTGGTGAGTCAATCCGTGACAGCTTCCAGCAAGAAATGATGGTCGCGCACCTATGACCAAGGCACCAAGTGAGTTCCCTAGATGCAAGGGGGCCGAAGTAAGCGAAGGAGGCGTTGGTGGCGTTGGCTTAGACATGCTGGCTGCGTCTTGGGGGGTTGTCATAGAGGAAGTATTGACAGTTGTGTTGTACTTATGTGCACCGTCGGAAACTACAGATCCGAAAGGAGATCTCTGGTTCTGCTAACGACGCAAAGTCCTTAATTAATACGACGTACCACTCTACCCAACAGAAGGAACCTGAAGATAAACAGTTATCTGCATTTGCACAGCCATGCTTCGCTGTGCAGACGATGAATATCGGAAGCCTGAGGACAGAGGGGAAGTATTGCAGCGTGTCCAGGAAGATAACAATCAAGTCGATGACAGGAAAAAAGAGCGGCATCTAAATAATTGGAAATGGCGTAACGAAGGGGCCGCCACAATGCACTGGATGCTTGAACTCTGTCTTACTAGGCGCTGGGGCATCTGTCTCGGGAAATTCAAAGATATAGACCTGTTGTTAGAATGTGAGCTGTACTTCAACAAATATCGCATGTAGGGCAGACAAACCTCAGCCATGTAATAGCCTTACTGTTTGTGGAGATGCATACCGCGCGAGTCATACGGATAGGCATCTGTGCTATGCTGACTCATCTCGCCATAACCTGGATATGAAAGTAGTTCTTTGAGGCTGTGGGCTCAACGAATCTCATCGAGCAACTCTCAGCGTAGCGTGCGAAGAGGAGGAAGAAGATCCTGGTTCTTGTCGCAATGTACCGCCCGAACAGTAGGCCGGTGTATAGCGTGACTTTGAGAGTTAGATTAGTGGTCGAGATGGGCACAGGTGTGTCTCACAGCGGTGCTGCCGTGGGAATACAGTATGAGAAACACGAACCGAAAGGGGATTTCAGTTCCTAACATACCATCTCTCTGTCCGCGTGATACCAGCATAGATGTCTTCTGCGACGGACGGCATTTGCGGAGGTTAAGGGCCACGAAAGATTGCCTGCCTGAGGAGATGTTGAAGTGCGCATACAATTTGTGGATGAAGACAGTCGCGTATCACTTGAAATGGTACATCTTGAGGTAAGAGCTGTGAGGCGGAACAAGGGTATCTTCACGTAGCTGTTTTTAGGTTATGCCAGGATACATCTGTCAATCAGAGTTCAAACGGGCAAAAGCAGAAACTCGCCTCGTCTAGCACCGTGCCGGGTCGGACAACGAGATAACCATCTCCTCTCAGACTTCTTGCTCACCGCCTCATCTTGTGGGGGCCAAGTGAGGATTTGCACGACGCTCACTTTAATGACACGCCTAAGATGCCGCATGGCAGCCCTTAACAGGTTCAGCATGCACCTTTCTTATCACCTCTCGCGAGTCGCACGCGTATTCTACGTGGATGCGTACCATTGAGCCGGGACTTGTATGCTTTGGGAACAGATGATTATAAGACATGGATCCAGTAACTGAAGTTTACGCGCAATCTTACGCTGGAAGATGATCAGGATACGAATCGCGGGAGTGAGAGCATAAGTGGCGCCCAAACAGTATCACGTGGAAATCATGTGATTGAACATTGGCTCCCCGTCCCCGAGGTTCGTCCCTCCCTCACGCCTCACGAGTCATTACCCTCACTCCAACTCGCCTGGTCTTCGTGAATGAGTCTCAAGCTCCACAGTACGCCGCATGTGCTAAGGGTGAGATGAAGATCTGTCAATCTGGTCAACCAAGCGCGGCTTCGCGTATTCTGCTGGCTTAGGATCGAAAGTGGGTGAGATCTTCTTGGTACGTCTGCGACTGCGTTCATGTGGCGGTATATGCTGGCCTGGCGTGCAAGCTGTCTTACCGCAATCTTCAGCAACCCACTTATGAGGAGATTTGCTTTCACAGACATAAGGCTCTTTCTGGTCCTCGTGCGGGGCGCGTGCGGCGACCGCATCATCGTATTTGATTACTGTTCACTCCTGCCGGAACGTGCTCTACATAAAAGCCAATCATGTGTGCTACATGTGTCAGTGGCAGCATATCTCAAGCTTTTGCCAAAGAACGCTGGCTGGCAGTTCAGAACGGCACATGCATGGCACTGGAACCCACTCATACGGTGAAGGCGCATCGACTGTCGAGAACATCCAGTTCTACTATTCACTTCGCTAAAAAAAACTGTGCTGCACTCTTCTAGTGAATAAAATATGGTCGTTTCATCCTCGCACGGCTTTACCATCGCCGTTGCGCTGCACGCGCTCGCCGTTCACTTTCAGGACCCTCGGTGCGAAGTGATGCGATGCGG